GAGCACTTTCGAAAGAACAGGTAGAATCGAAACTGAACGTAAGTGTGAAAACTCTGATGGTGAACTTATTTTTGGCAGAGGATTGACGAGAGCTCCCTTCCATAACTGTGGAAAATAGGAGTTTTTTATACAAGAGTTAATTATATAAGTTATATGTGGCACAATAAAGGGGCAACATAGTATTATTAGAGTAATATTGAGGTTATCACACCACCAAATGCTTTAGACTTAATACCTCCAGAACAATATTAATACGTTTGTGCTTGCATTATCTTCAGTTTTTGTGGAAACACCGTAGGTAACGAAAAGATCTGCAACAATGTTGAGTTTATTTTATACTTCTTCAGGCAATCTCGCAACATCTCCTTTATATCGGCAGGTGTAGGCTAAGACTCGCCGAACACACACTTTCTCCGGATAACTCCGGACACTCGCATAGCACATGTCTGACAGTATCATCTTCCTGTTCACACATCCTGCATAGAATTGTGTCCACTAGCCCCTTATTATGGAGGTGTTTCCTTAGTTGACAGTGGCCAGTCAGAAATCCTAGATTTTTCTTGGTCATCGCCAGATATTTCTTCGGCGCCAGTGATCCTGTCAAGATTGCATCCTTTGGTTCAACCTGATTTATGTTTTATTCCAATTCAAAGATAGGAAGCTCTTAATGAAACACCCTATTTAATCTACTTATGAAATGAAAGAATAAATTTCATCCTTTATTAAAAATTGAAAAATGGTTTTTTTGAATTTATAATTAGAGGTGTTTATAATATCTGAGGGCAATACATTCAGGATACTACCTATATTATAAGAGAATGAACGTTTAAATAAACTTGAATTGTGTCGTGGGATATGGATTCGATTTTTCTGACGAATGTTTATAGAGTGAATTTGTGACCGAAATGATATTTTGTTATATAAATATTCAGGTGTCTTTTCTATCAAAATTCTGTGGAAGGTACATGCACTATGAAAAAATATTCTTTTCTTCATATTTAGCCAGCCAAGTTCCTTGAGTTTAACCGATACATGGGAATATCTTCTCAAACCGTATATGAATCTGATACACGAATTCTGAATTTTTTGTAATCGGGACTCATCTCTTATAGTTAGACAAGGACCATAAATCACATCTCCGAAGGTAAGCTGAGACAAGATCAATGATTCTGATAAAACAATTTTTGTTTGCTGATTCATAATGTGTCGACATCCATACAGGAGTTTAATTTTTCCGAAGGATTTTTTAATAAGGTGGTCGATATGTGCCGTGAATCGTAGTTGATAGTCCATATACAAGCCCAAGTTTCTGGCATTGTCAACTATTGGGAGAATTTCATCGTTAATTTTAATAACAAAGTCTCTTAGAAATGTTAAACGCTTTGCCTTAGATCCAAACAATAACACTACAGATTTGGAGGGATTTATTTGTAGACAGTGGTCGTTAGATAGAGTTACTAAATTCTGTATATCAGTATTTGAATTGTCTATTGATAACTTACTATTTTCTGGTTTGAAGGATATGTATAGTTGAGTGTCGTCAGCATAGAAGTGTGATTGACACCATGAAAGGCTGTTTTTCAGAAATGAGGTATACAACGAAAACAATAGAGGGCCTAAGATTGTTCCTTGTGGAACTCCGCAGGATACATATAGTGGCTGCGAAATTGATTGTTCAATTTTTACTGCTTGAATTCTGTTACACAGATAATTGCTTAGTAAAAGCCTTGCACCATCATTCAATCCAATGTGGTTCAGAATTGCTAATAAGAGGCAATGATTGATAGTATCGAATGCCTTTGAGTAATCTAGAAGTACAAGAGCGGTTAGTTCTCCATTATCCTGCGCAGTGAATATATCATCTGTAACTTTGAGTAAAGCTGTGACGCAGCTACGATTTTTTCTGAAACCGGATTGTGTTTCGGGTAAAATCGAATATTTGTCTGAGTGATTACGTAACTGCTTTTCAATAACTTTCTCTAGTACCTTCGATAGAACGCTCAAGATACTTATTTTCTCAAAGAGAAAATGAGCAATTTCATTTTCTTCGCTTCCCTACCTCGACAAAATGAAAAATTACGCATTATGTTCATCGCAAATATACAAAGCAATGTAAATTCATTAATTTGCTATGTTCATACTACGACAATAAAATCTCCGACCTTTGACACGTTATTCATTAATTTTTCCATTTCTCGGTGTCAAATAATTCATTAAATGTCACGGTCGTCATGTCAAGAAGTTTGTGTGAACAAAACATAAACGAATTGATGACTACGAAACCGCCTGAAAGCATTGCATATCTGAAGGACATTACACAATTTCCTGCTAAGATTATGAATCTCGAGATTGAACTTTATGAAACTTCAATATTCCTTCAACGAGATACGCAGTTTGAGTCAGTGAATATGCCATTACTTTCGGATTACCTCAGGGAAACCCAACTTTTTACTTAGTATTCCATTAACGCATCAAAGAAACTCATCGTGTGTTCGGGATATGATCCAGGCAAGCAGGGGCAGATTGAAGACATTGTTAGGGATTCAGTGAATTTCTCAAACTCATTTTCATTTTGTGTCAAAGTTGGTTTTCTGCTTTGTCGGCCTTGGTCTGCAGGTTTTTACATCAGACGTTTCATCTACAACTGCGGTAGACTCTAGATTTCCTCACAGCTAGAGCACTTTTTTCTCTTGCCATCAAAGTTCATACTACTCATTTTTTTTTCAATTTGCGAAGAATTTTTTAGGGAAAAACACAAGTATCAAGAAAATCCTTAAGGCGCTCTCAGATCGGTGCCTGTGCGAAAGTAGCGATTCAGATTGGATTTCAATCGCTGGAGATTAACTCCATTTGGAAAAACGTTCTCAGGAAGTTTATTCCACATAAACGCAGTTCTCCAGATGAAGGAGTTCTTAAACAGTGAAGTTCGAGCTGTACCGAGTTGAACCTCAAAACGATGAGCAGCCATAGTCCGTCTCGTATTTCTGATATGTACCGCTCTTGGTCATGTGTCAAGTCACTTGATCACCTCCCATGAAAGTATCTATATAGAAGAGAGACAAATATACAACTTTTTGTCGATGTTCCAGGCTACCAAAGTTGCACGTGATATTCGCGTCTCCAATCAGGCGGATGGTTATTTTCTGGATGAAATCCAGCAACTTCAGGGAATGTTTGAGGGCAGAGCTCCATACATTAGAACAATACTCCAAAGAGCTTTGTAAAGCATCAAAAGTTGCTGAGGTGTGCTGGTTCGGAACAGTGTTCCAAGCTTTTGAGAAGCAGCCTTTGCAATTCTAGCGACATGATTGTGCTAAGACATATTGGTGTTCATTTTAACCCCCAACAAACTTATCGAAGCAGAAGTCTTCGCTACTTCAATGACGTTGACGTTCAATGATTGTTGCAAACGATGCAACATACGGTTCGTCATTTTTTTGTGTGAGGCAGTGTATCACAGGAAGCAAACAATATGTCGACAACCTACATTATGTCTAGAGGAATATAACCAACATCCAACAAGAGACCTGTACAAACTAAGAATTCAGATTGTTGGAACGTAAATAGTCCCGCCTCTTTTGAATTCTGAACGGGGTAGGTAGGTAGGTCTGAAGTGAGTGGGTGTATTCGACCCTCCACCGCAACCCGCAAGGGTTTATTGTGGCTCACACCTATTCACACTAGGCCAAATAAACCCAGCTTCTTAACGAAGCCGATTATTTTGTATGATGAGTGGTCTTTCAGGTCAGATGGTGATAGTACGGATCTGCCGAACTCAAAGAACCTGATTCGGTCCTCAGCGGGGCAGTCACAAAGTATATGCTCTGCAGTTTCATCATTTTCCAAACATAGGCGACACACACTGTCTTCCGACAGTCCAAGTTTCCGCATATGATGATTCAAATGACAGTAACCAGTAAGATAGCCTGTTTGACATCGTAGTTCATCCTTACTGTAGTCCAACAACTGTTTGGAATCAAGCTTTGAAGGGTGAATAGACGACTTGGAGTGAGCCAATCCAGGAAGATCCTGCCAGAAGTCCATAACTCTTCTTGCCATCCAGGTGTTCAGTGTTTGTTTGACAAAGCCCAAAGCGATATCAATGAAGCCGCTTGCAGCACCCTCCTTCGCAAGAGAGTCAGCAGCTCCATTGCCTTTCAGGCCAATATGGCCAGGAATCCAGACCATAGGCAATCTGCTGAGTCTTCCTATCGAGGAGAGACTTTTTGAGAGTTTGCTACCAAGTTAGACGTTGCTCGGTAGGAGTCAAGAGCTCCCAATGCCGCTTGACTGTCTGATAATTTTTTTATTGACTTGTGAGTGAGGTTGGATTTATCCACAAAATTCAATAGCGTAAATTTCCGCTTGAAATACAGTTGCATAAGTTCCTAGGCAGGTAGATAACTCTGTCCTGGGTCTGCAACTGAAAACACCTGCACCAGAGCCGGAAGGTGTTTTTGATCCATCTGTGAACCAACAACTATCTGCTCTTAATATTTTCTTCTCCCGCAGGATCCAGTCCTCTCTACTCGGGAATAGTACTTTATAAGACAGTTCGTAGTTGACAGTTGGAGGTACAAAGTCAGAGGTCAACCAACAGTCTGTTGCACTCTGCATTGAATTGATTTGTGCAATTGGCAATGTGCACAAGTCTGTATGCAGTCCATCTAGCCTCTCTTTCCAGAAAAATGTGGAGAGGAGGTAGATCTAGAAGGATCTCCATGGCCGCTGACGGTGTGGTACTGATGGCACCACTGATAGCCAGACAAGCCTGTCTCTATAAGGCAGAGAGCTTCGCGACATGTCCATAGAGACAGTCTGGCTTTGTGTAAAACTCTTTCCAAATGAGCGTTCCAGGTGAGTCTTTCATCAAGGAAAATGCCAAGATATTTCACCTCCATTTCAAATGGAATGACCAAACCATTGAGGGAAAGTGGCGTTAGATTGTCCAATTACCTTCTCTTGATGAAGGGGATTAACACAGTTTTGCTGGGGTTGACAGACTTCTGCTTCCTCAGGCACCAACTGTGAACAACGTCCAACGCGCTTTGGAGGATATTACAAGCTACCCTTTCCGACGTGGACCTTGCCAGGATGACAAGGTCATCTGCATAAGCTTGCAGATAAACTTTTCTTCTGTCGAGGGCATCGAGCAGACTATCCACCAAGAGCGACCACAGAAGGGGAGATAGTACCTCACCTTGAGGGCAGCTCCTGGTTACCATGATAGCCTCGCCTTGAAGAGTCGTAGTTGCAGTTCTGTTTACTAGCATGGCATAGATCCAGTCAGTTATGGTCGATTCTATACCCTTTCTAGCCAGAGACAATCCTATAGATTTAGGTAGTGCATTGTCAAATGCTCCTTCTCAACTAGGTTGTTTAATGCTGAATCTGTCGATTTGCCGGTTTGATAAGCATACTGATGGTGGTTATTCAGTGGGGATGCATATAATGTTACCCTCCTGGTATATCCGTCCAGTATCCTCTCAAGTCCTTTCAGCAGGAAGGATGTAAGGCTGATTGGTAGTACCGATTTGGGGTGTGGGTCTCTCCGGCCCACTTTAGGTATATATACCACCCTTGCTGCCAACCAACTGGGTGCTATATAATTCCACGCCAGACTAGCTCTATACAATTTTGTGAGAATTTGAAGAAGAGCTGGAAATATACCATCCTCTCCGGGAGATTTGAAGGGCTGAAAAGACTTGATAGCCCATTCAACTGCCGGGGTATTCGAATAACATTTGTATGAATAGAAATTTTTGATGAATATAGTCAACGGATGTGAAGTTATCCACATCCACAATGTACACTGAGAAAAAATATTGAATTATTATTTTTTTATTTATAGACTCTGTACACCTACCATTTTTCAATATGATACGCTCATTGACTGATTTAGTAAGAAAAAAGAACCGTCCTAGTTCACTAAACTGTCTGAAGGGGTAAAAATAGTGTAGAAATACTTGTTGGGGTTTATCCGCTTGAATTCGAACCCCAATTAATCTAAACAAGAAAAACTACAGTGTTTGTTGTATTCATTGTTCACCTTCCTAGATGAACCTTCTTGGACTGCATCCTATTTTACTCTGCCCTGAATCGCATAAATGTTATTGTTAACACCACTTGAAAATATCTAAAACCCAACATGTCGCAAGGGTCAGAAATATACCTACATACATAAGGGTAATTCAGTTGTTCGATAACGAAAAACGATTCGCCTACCAATACAAGACAGTAAATGTTGCCAGATCTTGAACATCTACACAAAATATAAAAAGTTATAATATTCTGAACAATATTAAAAAAATTCGTAACATGAAAAATCAACTTTATACATCTACAATATGGAGACATGTTATTCCTGATGATCTATTCGGCAGAAAACACTTAACGTCATTGTTTTCCAGGCCGTCTGAAGGGTTGAAAATTATCATGTATAGTGCACGTGATCTTCCAAGCTAGGCTGCTTGTACAGAGTCGCAGAAAAAAGTTTTTTATAGTATGCGGCTGCGTATAGGGAAATGGGGTGTAGATGGGGTGTAGGGACACAAATTAGCAGTTTTTACAGCCGTATCAGTACTAGACATTTTGAAAATTTTATAGTTCAAAATACCGTATATGAAGACAACACAGGCGTTAAAACGTAACTCACCACTCCGACCTTGTAGCGATATACCTGAATAAAATCCGCCAGCCGATTGCAGTTAAACCTGATTGGTCAAAATAAGGAGGCTTGTTTATTATACCCAATATATTCAAATGTGCGTGACGATCAGGCATCTATCATTGTTTGGGTTAACTTGTTTGCTGGATGGACAAAATATGGAAATGAAATATTCATTCGTGTCCATTCATGTTATGAATTCTGAAAACCAGTTGAACAGTTACCCTAGTTACAGAGAGTACTATGTTATCTTGACCCTTTTTGAATTTCAAAAATAATTCGCGCCAGATCTTCAGAGGAAAAAAAGGAGCAATCCTTATTAACGCCAAAGTCGCCAATGCTTAGAGGAGGTAAGAATCTGACTGGTGATTTACATTTGAAAATTATTCTAAACCTCATTCACCCACGGATTTAACAAATTGAGATGATGCGCTCCCAATTTTTTAAAATCTGTAAGGAATTGGTTATATAAGACATACCCAGGCATGTAGATTGGTAGACGCGGTCCGTCGAAATGACCTGCTCGTTCACCGAATTTCACCCCTCTTGAATTTTTCCTTTGGGCTATATCATATCGAAAGTTTATGATACGCCACAAAAGACAATACGAGATCACCGAAATTTATGTTGCTAGCAATACACCAAAAACATTCCAAAATGTTATAATTGAATTCGAAATTGAACTGTTTTACTGTCATGAGCTTCAAGCAGAACATTTTAAAGATTTGTTTGAATTATTTTTGATGTATGAGATAAATAATAACGAGGTTGAAACATGTGTTGCTAGAAATAATTTAGAATTAAGATTTTATTTCATAACCTTTTAATGAAAATTGGGTTGGAAATTCCACGGCTTGAAACACGGGAACTATTTTTGTATAATAGTTTGTGAGAAGTTTTGGAGCAACCATTGTAGCGAACACTCGCTTTCAAATAAACTTAGAGTATGTTAATTCCTGGTATTTTCAATTTGTGTGAAGTAACTTCACAATTCCTATGCACAATTGCCGGATTTGGAATATAATACAATGATCAATTCTATTCATAATATCACAACTAGCGGTAAACTAAGCGTGAGTCAAACATCGGTCCTTTGAGCCGGATTTCTCAAAATTACGCAGGTGTCCATTGTTAGTATTTTTTGTCTGTTTCATCACAATTGTGCAATATAGAGTTAGTGCGGGCTTTGCAAAATATAAGTGAAGTTCAAGAAGTCATCCACTTTTCTTATTTACGTGGTACGGTGTCAGCAAATCCAGTGGGAAAGTCCATCAGCCGTTGCTGTTCGACCGCCATTACACGGTGAGAAAGCACTGTTTGACTCACGATCAGTTTGCCACGAATTGTGATATTACGAATAAAATTATTTATTATATGTATGTATTTCATTCCAAAACCGACAATAGTGCATAAGAATTGTGAAGTTGCTTTATAGGACTATTACCTACACGTCTAGTATATTCTATACGAATTCAATTCAAATAGCATAACAACTAAATAGTTACCGAACGACGCCAGCGTTTTTATATGGCATGGGCGGCCGGCTTTGTTAGTCATGGCGGGTACATTAGTATTTTATTTAGTTGTTAGGATTGACTTCGTAGACTATAATAAGACTTGTACCAAATTGAAAATACGAGTAATCAACATAATCTAAGTTTATTTGAAAGCGAGTATTCACTACAATGGTTGCTCAAGAACTTCTTGCAAATTACTATACAAAAATGTGTTCCTTGTCGTTTAAATAGGCATTACAAAAAGGTATTAAAAAAATAATGAGAAGAGATTGCCAAATAATTACCACCACTTAGGACAGAAGAGATCGAAATACTTACAATTTTAGGATTATTAGACCCTGCAGCTGTCGCCATTTTTAATCCATCTGGACAATTTCTGAAGGGGCGGCCAAACTGCAGGCCCTCAAGCCGTGCACTTACCAACCTAAGTTTCATTAAAAGCTTGTGAAATAAAGTCTTAATTCTAAATTATTTTCAGCGATGTAACAAAATAAAATGCTATCCTGTCATGTCCTTGAAATTAACACATATCTATTGCAAACATTGTTACTATTTTTTTTCTCGTTGCAATAAACATTTATTTAAAAAAATCTGGCATGTGAAGGAGTTACGAAATTGCTATGTCATATTCAAACATCAATAACTCTGCAACCGGTTATCGAAATTCAAAAAAGTGGAGTTCATTGTATAGAGAATTGAAATACCTTTCATGCGAGAAAAATATGATAGCTCCCTTTCGGCGGCTAGTAATGTCACACTATTGGCTTTTTTTTATCAAAAAATACTAAAAACGATTCCTTTTCACGAAAATTTAGCCCGACTCTGATAGCATGACCCGTTCAAAAGTTAAAAAGAAGGCCCCTGAATTGTCAACACATGGAAACTAATTCAAATAAGTAACTTGTTCGATTTGGTTTTCCGCTGCCAGAAACTGTGAAAAATCACGTTGTCATTGTTGAAGAGCGTTTTTTGAAACGTTTTGAATATCATGAAGTTGAATCACATTTTTTATAGCATAATTGCATTTTATATTACAAACGCTGAATGTCATCGCTTGCGAAATATGGTCCACTGAAATTGAAATGACCCGAAACAAGTCCAGTCGTTCATGAATTATGCAAAGGCATGAATAAATTACCAACTAACTACATCACGTTCAGAGAGAAGCCACACTAGTAATGATTATGATTATCAGAAATACCAGGAAAAGAATACGATATGCTGTATTTTAATCACGCACTGTGGTTAACAGCTATTATATCGAAATATTTGAATTGACAGCGATCATTTCATTAGGTTTCACATACAATGTGATTCAGTAAGAAATGCTGGACGAGTTCAAGATATGTAACAGTAATGTTTAATAATCTCGAATTCCGGAACTGTCAGATCAGAATCATAATCTGTATGAAGAAATACTGCATGCTCCAAGGAGGATGAGTATACGCTATCTGTTCAAAGTAGTTCTTCTCAGATATAATATATCACTAGTACTTCCTATCAATAAAATATCCAAACCGGAAACATTCATTGACTTGAGACCTCACTCACTCTCAAAAGTGATCGGAAAAGCAGTTTATAAACAAACGTATACCTTTGTCAATAATAACCGTATTCTTCCCATCACGCAGTCTGGCTTTACATAAAATTATGGTACCATAAGTGCTCTTTCTAATATTACCGATCGTATTATACAATCATATGATAAGAATTAAGTAACTCTTTCAGTTTCACTTGATTATAAAAAAGCATTCGATACTATGAACCATGCTATACTATGTGCAAACCTTTGTTATTACGGATTCGATGAGAAAAGTCTTTTTTTTTCAAATCTTTCCTCAGTAATAGAACACAGCGCGTTCTAATCAATAATAACTCATCATCAGAACTGAACGTAATGCATGGGGCACCTCAGGGCTCTATACTTGCACCTCTCCTATTTATTATTTACACTTCTGATTTTTTCAGAATACTGAAGAATTTTCAAATGCATACCTATGCTGATGACACCATCCTGATTTTTTCTGCGAAAACTGATGAATTTTTCTCAGTTGAACACTTTTTGAATAACGATATAGATGACCTATTGAAAATATCACGAAATCACTGTTTGAACATCAACCGAAATAAATCTTTTCCCATAATTTTTGGTAATAAGAGGGATCGGAGTAGGGCCATAGATAATTCCTCAATTTTTATCAATAATCACAAATTGGATTCCGAGAGCCTATGGTTTAGTAAAACATCTATACTCACACTGACATTACTTGACTAAACATCTGAAAATTCAACTATGTGATACACTTATTTTATCAATTTTCAACTACGGTGATATTGTCTATGGCCCGTGCCTTGATCGAGAAACTTCTTCCACGATCCAAAAAGTTCAGAATGACTGTGTCCGAATAATATTTTCGCTGAAACGAAGAGATCATGTAACAACATTTTTAAACAATCTTGGGTGGCTGAAAATGGTAAATAGAAGGAAACATCACCTTGTATGCTTCGTTCATAAGTTATTGAGAAACCAATGTCCAGATTATCTCTAGAAACATTCGTAACATCAATATGCTTACCCTCCAGCGTTACTCTCTATCTTTTTTTGAACGTTCTTTCTCTTATAGCGCTGTAACCGAGTACAGCTCATATCCTGACGAATTGAAATCACTATCTTTTTCTGCGTTTAAAAATATAACGAAAGCCATCCTTTTCGGTACACAATGAATCTGCCTGAATTGAATCAAATGAAATTAACCCAGATATGCCCAAAAAAACAGAAATCTAGATTCTTTGATTTTTGTCGAAAAACCCTCTTTGATGGCTCACAAATGATTGTGCAAAAATGGTGAAAAAAATTTTAATCATCAGTTTTTTCCAAAAACGGGTGTCCTTTTAGAAGGACAGTGGGCTAATGGATAATCAAACGGACCTGTTAACTAAATAATGTTTATTGAACAACTAATTCTAATGAAATATCAATCATTTATATGGTATGACTTGAAACAGTTGATGTGAAGTGCAACATTACATTTTTCACACTTTGTCGATACTTTTTTATGACAGACACGTAACCGTGTCTGCTTATCCTGGGAAATAACTAAGTGATCCAAACGATCAAATCTGGAATCCGCATTTGGTAACGAAGAAGAACGGCTCCTTTGGAGTGACGTTTTGTTATTTGTCTCCAATAGAAAAAGAGCATTTCTTCGTCTAAATGTCAGTAGAGCCATAGTACCCCCTTGCTGACGGTGCAGTTGCCAAGAATTTTGGATCGACATATCGATACAATGCATAAAAATTGGAATATACCATTTTTTCCCTCTAACACTTATCCTGTAAAGACTCATATTCTGATCTGATCGATCCACTCCCCCCATGAAACTGTTGTAAGGCTTTATCAATTGAGGTTGATCAATATACAAATGTGTTTTTTCCTTTTTTGAAAACCTCTTGACTTTCTGTAGTGGAAATACTGTTTCACAATTAGAAGTAATACACATAACATTATTGTCATTCCAACGAACAACAACAACTGTTTTTTCCTTGGTTGACCTATAATCATAAGAACCCCTGTTACTCTTTCTCATTTTTTTGGCATCTTCCAATGGACATTTCGATGTTCTGTTCTCTCGAATCGTTCCAGTTGCTCTTATGCCTTTTCTTAACAATTCTTCGAGCAGAGGTACTGTTGTGAAGAAATTGTCAATGAATATATAATAATAATAATGTCCTATTTTCAGTAAGACATCAGCGTATTCCAAAACCACAGATGGGCCCAGCCCAAGCTGTTTGTATGTTTCTTTTACTTCACTGTTAGTACCCTAATATGGATTCATCCAAATAATATATCCACCACTGGTGCACCATATCCAGAATTTATATCCATATCTTATCGGTTTATTTCTAATGAATTGTTTACAAGGGTGTCTACCATAGTAGGGTACCATCGTTTCATCAACACTATGATTTTCAGAATGTGGTGCATAATCCTGAAATCTTTTATTCAGAGCTGATATCAATGGTCTCACTTTTGTGAAGCGATCTGCATTATCTAAATTTTGATTGTCTCATACATGGATATTGGATAATATAAATTCAAATCGATTTCTTGACATGGCATTTACAATCAAATCATTGTGCACATCAGCAGATTGTTCCCAGTACATGCGGCGTCTACTCATGCAATTGTAACCACTTATAATCAATATACCTATAAAACTTTTCATTTCTCTTATTGAAATGTCTGCTTTCTTGTTTTTATGCGAAATATATCTGTTGGTGAAATGGATAATCAAGTTCATCACTTCTTCATCGAAGAAAAGGAAGAATATTTCAGGTGGAGATAGTGAATGACTTGCAGTTTGTTTCGGTAACCAATCCGATGTGTTTTTTTCTATATCAAATTTGATCCAATTGTATTTTTTTTGCTTCTTGCTGTTTGTCTGCTTCTTAGATTCTAGGCACTTTTCTCTTAGTAGTTGAAGAGGTATATGATCTTCCGGATCACTTTCTGAAGATTCATTATTATGAAAAAATTCAGCTTGGACATTTAGTTAAGAAGCAGGAAGGTTGTTTATAGACACAAAGTCCTCATCTCCTGAATCTTCATCTGTGTCATCATCATAAGCATTGTTCGGAGGTATTAAAACGACGTCAATCGCCGAAGTGGGTGTTTTAGCTTCATTTGGCAGATCTTCAAGCTCAGACAGTAACTCGTGTAAAGTCAGCCCCCTAAAAAAGTTTGTGTAAGTGCCCACTGTCCTTTTAAAAGGACACTCTCAAAAATAGTAAAAAATAACTACCCATATATAAACTTTAGATCAGTGTATCAACGTAAAAGTTTCTACAATATTAAATGGAAACTCACCCAACTGGGCGAAGGTCGATAATATCATCCATTTTAAAAAACACTGATTATTTCGAGGATTATATGTCAGAGTTTCTGAACACTTGCTTCGTGATGGTCAGCTGTAAATTCTACTTAAAGATATTGAGAGTATATGTCAACCCGCCATCTGTGTTTAAATAGCTCAAATTCATGAAAAATATAAAATGTAGATTCCAATATTTGGTGTCCTTATAGAAGGACAGTGGGCATATCTGGGTTAAATTAAACCTAAATTGATTATCTAATGCATTTTACATCATGTGTTTTTTTTCAAATTAATTTACCTTTATATATTTTTGTCATGTAATGGTAAAACCTAGATTAGGTCCTAGTTTTAAGTTATGCTACTGTATCACTATTGATACACTCATGTATAAAAAATATTCTTGGTTGAGTGGTAGAATAGCGTAAGTTAAACTCCGCCAAGATAAAAATAAAGACCATTTATTATCATTATTATTTGTAAAAGCGGTTTTTCCAATCACTCAGTGATTCGGATCTCCTCAATCGTCGCCAAACGCCGTCCTTTCATGGGTCTCTTCAATCTTAAGAACAGGAAAAAGCCTCAGGGGGCCAAATCTGGTGAATAGGGTGGTTGGGGCATGACCCAAAAAATACGAACAAGCAATGACGAGTGAGCAGGTACATTATTGTGATGTGAAAGTCATTATTTGTTTTTCCACAATACTGGATGTTTTCTACGTTTTCTTTCTCGCAAGCGGCTTATAACTTCAAGGTAATACTCCTTACTGTCTGTACGACCATGTGGCAAGAGGTCCTGATTCACTACGCCACGGTAATCAAAGAAAACCGTGAATTGAATCTTGACATTTTATCGAACTTGACGTTCTTTTCTTGGTCTTGGCTATTCCAATGAGACGGTTGGACTTAGGTTTTGATGTCATAACAATTTATCCATGAATCGTCACCAGTTATGACCCTTTTAAGCAAATCTGGATCGCCGTTGACGTCAGTCAAAATTTCTGAGCGACGCTCATGTAACGGTTTTTTTGATCGAAATTCAACCATTTTGGAACGATCTTCGCTGACACACGCCTTATGCCTAAAATTTCCGATAAATTGCATGTCATAAGCCAACCGATATGTCGACATCCTCAGAGGATTTTGGCACCGGGATAATCCTAAGAAGTCACTTCGTAAATCATTTTTTCTGTGAAATGCACTGTGACACGTTTTGGAAGCCCGGTAGCTAAAGTTGTTATTCAGAACTTTACAAAATCCACAACTCCAACACTAACAATAGCAGATGGTTCAATCGCCACAACAGCCATATAGGAAAAGCAAATCTACTAGCTGAACAATTTCTTCCACCCACTTCTTCTACCCACTACTTCCACACTAGAATCCACAATTCCTATTCCCAAAAAGGACAAGAAAAATCTTCCGAGTAACTATAGACCAGTCGCTTTGCTATCAGTGATATAAAAAATCATGGAGCGATCGTCAATATGGCTTTCAAAAACAAAGATCAACAGGCGACCTTCTATCGTATGTCACCCATATTTGGAATAACGCAATCGGAAAACATGGAGAATCAAGAGCTGTTGCGCTTGATATTTCTAAAGCCTTCGACCGTGTGTGGCGTGAGGGTTTGCTGGCCAAACTTCGATGCTATGGCAAGTCTGGTCAGAGAAAAGCTTTCCTTCCATATGTCCTTCCGTCCCTGCATCAGTAGTAAAACAATGCAATACTCGCTCATATTATAAATTTGTCGATTATGCAAAGTAAGTTCTCTTCAAGTCTGAAAATAGCCTCTTGTTATTTTATTGTACAAAAAGGGTGATCCTAGTTGTTATATATTGAGTAACTTAGTGGACTGTTTTAATAGGTCTTTGAAAATTATCGAGTAGTTCGTTCTGTTCAGTGGTGCTAATGAATGAGAATTAACTAACAATAATAATGATATCAAAAAGAGAGAATTTAACGTGTCTGTGATTTCCTTATCTTGATTTTGGTCACAACGGCACTTGAGGAATCGGTGAATAGAGAGAGAGAGATAAGAAACTGCACTTTTCCAGTACAACTGCAGTTTTCTCGAGCACTTTCGGTTCTTTCTCCGGAATCGAACCTTTTGTCTATATGTTCTTCCTCTCGCGGCAGACAGAAAACCACAGTCTTCTCGCGATAAGAATATAAACAAAAAAAAATGAAAACAAAAACTCTACTTAATCAGACAAACACACTATACAGGGAGGTGGTGACGATACACTAGTAATGTTGAAAACTACCGACCAATTGCATTACTTAGTATTTTCTCTAAAATAATTGAAAAAGTGGTTGCTCGAAAAATGGAAGCGTATCTGAGTTCTTTCAATTTAATAACAAACAATCAACACGGTTTCAGAAATGGCTTCTCCACTGAATCAAGTTTGGCTGAGTATACTCAAAACATTTTTGAAAGAATGGAATATGATGAATAAGTGGTATCAGTATTGTTCGACTTAACAAGGGCATTTGATACAGTCGAAAGGTCTTTCGTCTCAGAAAAACTAGAAAAGTTGGGTATTCGTGGCTGCCTCAATGATTGGTTTTCTCTTTCCTCGAAAACAGAAGGATTATAGTGAAAATTGATGACTTTTTTCAAATGAATTTGATATGGATCTTGGTACCCCTCAGGGCAGTGTCCTTGGTCCATTAATTTTTCTCATATTCATTAACGATCTTCCTAAATATCTGAGGCAAAAGTTCTCATGTATGCAGACGACACATGCACAATAATATCAGATCACTTAAAACTCGCACTTTCAAAACAACCTACCATAACACTAAACCACTTCAAAGATTGATGCTATCGTAATAG